ATCCCATCAGTTTAACATCAGTTTTAGGTAAACAAATGGAGATTTATTAAGAAGTAGATAGTTTTCTGGAAAATCAGCATAGATTCAACAACAAAAGATCATGCTTAATGAATTTACTCCAATTTTTAAAACAAGATGAAATAGTCCCAACAGATGTACTGTACTATATTTACATGTAGTATATTTACAAAAGGCATTCAACCTGGTACCCCATCAAGGTTTGCTGGCTAAATTAAAAGCATATGGTATAGGAGACAAACTTCAGACCATGATGAATGACTGCCTCACAAACAGGAAGCAGTGGTAGTGAGTTGTTTCGATTGGAGTTTCTCCGGGATTGGGGATTGACTCTTGATCTGATCCTCTTTACATTATACACAAATGATCTCAAGATAAGGCTAACATCTAAGACAGCAGAATTTGCTGATACAAAATTAAGAAAGTGGAACATTCCAAAAAAAAAGATTGAGTATCCAGTGTGATCTGGATAGGTTAGCATTGAAATTGGAGATATGGTAGAAGAGTTTCAATGTTGGTAAGTGCAAAGTAATACATTTTGGCTATAACAATCCCAGACATGAATACAAAATGTTTGGCAGTAAACTAACTGAAAAAAAGAGAAGAAAAGGGCCCTGTAGAAATCATAACCAAGAACCCCAAAAATACCAAACAGTGCCTTATCTGTGAGCAGCAGAATGCCAGCTTTCAGAGCTAGAAATTTTGAGTACAGTGTTGGTCACTGCATCTTTGAGTATGCCATCCAGCTTTGGTCTGTAAATTACATAAAACATGAAGATATATTAGAGTACAGAGAACACCAGCCAAGCTTGTACCATCGTTAAGAAACAAGCCATTTCTCTCTCAGGAAATGGAGACTGAGATCATCTTATTCAAGCTTTGAGGATATTAAATAGCTTCGATATACTCAAGCAAGAACAGTTTTTTTTTCAGGTGCAGGGCGTAGTGCTTCCCCATGAATGTAATAATAATTCAAGTGCAATGAGTCCATAACTTGAAATAATGGAATGAAATGTTGAGACAGAGGATGCAGGAAGGACTAGCCTACCTGCTGCAGCTGTAAGCATAAAGACTTCAATAATTTAAAAAAAAAAAAAAACAGCTGGACTAGCACTTGGCAGTCTTAGGATTCAACTTGATACTACACTGGGGCAAGCAGAAATTAATGGATGGATAATGTTTATGCAGCATCTGCATCAGAATGATTAGTTGGCAATGAGATGACTTAAAGTTAATACAGTAGTAGTAGTGGCAGAAATAGATGGTTGTGTTAGTTATGGTAGTGGTGTGTGTTCACTTCACAGTATCTGGAAGTAGAACTAGTGGTCGTGAAGTAGGACCATTAGTACATACAGCTCGGTGAGTGGCAGTAAAGTAACACGAGTAGATAATATAGGAACAGTGTTCATTACACTTCAGTTATTCAGTAATAATTAAGTAGAGGTAGTTGTAGCCCATGTTTTCCATCTTATTTCTTTTTCTCTTGTAAATTCCATGGCCTTTTTTCTGTGGAATGGTATGTTTTTGCTCCATTTTCTTGCCAGTAAAGGCTAAATGAGCAGAGGGTGTGGAGAAAGTTGTCGGCTTCACTGTCCTTGTCTGAAACACACACTTCATGATAGTCTTGAAGCCTAGATAGAAGTAGACAAGTAAGACACATGTGCAGCAGCTGGGTATCTTTATTTTTAAAACGTTTCATTTATGCGGTATGTTTCTTTAGTCAAATACAGAAGTGACAGGAGAAGCAGTGGAGAGGTAAAGATGATGTGATCAGTCCATCAACCTGCTGCTGCTGTCTTTGTATTTGACTACAGAAGCTTACTGTGCAGGCAAAATATTTCAGAAATAAAGTTGCCCAACTGTTGTACATTTATCTTGCTCATCTGCTTGTTGGTATTGTGTATCATTATAATCATATCTAGATAAAAGTAGATAGTTATCAGCAGATAGCCTTGATGTGGACTCTTGGCCTTTGCAATCTGTCTTGCCAATGTACAGTACTCCCATGTACTACCTCTTGTTTGAGTATTTGCCAGTGGGGACTAGGATGGATAGCACATCTTCACATTATCTTGTTACGTGATGCACTGTTTTGAAGTTTTTCAAAGTTGTTCTTTTGAAGATTAGTCCAGATGGATGAAGAAGGTACACAAAGCAGCATAAGGTTATATTATAACAATTTTTCTGTTCAAGGGAGCTTTAGCAAGTAATTAGAAAACACACAAACATCTTCTCAAATAGGTCATCCTATTAGTAGTTTACACATTTTTTATATAACTTGATAACTCTTACCTTCATTATGTTAATAGTATAAAATACTGACAAGTAGATGAATAAGACTCATGTGCAACAGTTTTGTATTTTATTGACATGCTTCGAGTCTAAATACAGTGAAAACAGCTGGACTTGTTTTCTCCTCCATATTTCAACTGAAGAAGCTTGTTCAGCAGACAAAGTAAACATTTTGCCAGCTTAGCAAGTTTCTTCAGTTGAAATTCATTAATGATATACCAATATATTGTATATGTGAAAGCTTCCCTTTATGCAAAACATTATAATGAAGACTTGCTTATGTTGTTGTGTGTATCTTCAACCACTTCTTGGTTCACAGCCTCTTGTTCCATTAGTCTTGAACATTATGACTGGCTTTAATTTCATCAAAGATTATTAGAAGGTGATAAGTTTTGTTCTCTCCTGAGCAGCTGCAATCTTCCAAATTGTGTTGTTCTCAATGGTAAACTAATTGGCAGGTAAATCAGCATTCACATTGCAGTTGACAATGTATTTCCTGAATGGGTTAGTAAGGGCTCTTTCAAGCTTGCAATTGTACTTTGGTCTCTAAATTGAATGAAAGCTCCCTTAAAAGGGGAATGCTGACCATGGGCTCTTGACCCAGGAATTGGATCTGCCCTCCATTTGGGTCAAACCTGAATTACCCCCCCCCCCCCATTTCCCACTCTTAATATGATCCCTGCACGTTTAAGGCTTCTCTATGAAAATAATCACATAGATGTATTAGGGTGCAAAATTACTATGAAAAAGGCTGCCATATTTTGGTGGGCTTCAAGGTTTGTGTGCACTATCTAGTGCACTGGACAGTGCACTTGGGTAAATTTGGATTTGTGAAGTAATCCTTAATTTTCAAGGATAACTTTAACCCTTGATGTGGGCACAGCCAGATCAAGGATGTCCTAGTATCAGTGATATTTTTCTGAAAATAAACTATAGTAATGATAAAAAGGGTTCAAGGAAAAATATTTGGATTTGTCCTTGAAACCATTTGAATTTTCCACTTCTACTGCCCCATTATTTATGAATGCACAAATAGGTATTTTTTATGATTTTTTTTTCAGGGTTGTTAAGCATCAAAAACTGAATACAGTATGAAAAATTGAAAAAAATACATATTTTTTTTGGGGGGGGGGGGGGTATTTTGAATGCTGACAAAATGAAGTGTAGCAATTCCCAGTGATGTGAAGAGTACTAAAACATTATTCAAACTTACTGACATCAAAATGGTGTCTTTCCTATGTCTGAGTTTTTTGACTATGTACAGTGGTACCTCAAGTTTCAGCCATAATTCGTTTCAGAAGGCTTTTCGAGTGCCGTTACCGAACGAATTGGTTCCCATAAGGAATAATGTAAATTAGATTAGTCCGTTTCAGACCCTGAAAAATACACTTAAAAAAGCATTTACAAAAATACACTTACATAATTGTTCGAGTTGGGAGCTGTTTGAAACTCGAGGTACCACTGTACTTACAAGGTGAGGGGTGGAAGGGGAGTCCTTGATGCCGGTGAAGGGCTCTTTATCAAAGGAATTGAAGCTATCCTCTTCCTTGGATCAACCCTGATTGCTTCCCGTGTGTACGTGCGCATGTGTGCGTGCATATGTATGTGTGTGCTTGTGCGTGCATGCGTGTGCGTGCTTGCGTGTGATTGTGCGTGCATGCGTGTGTGTGCTTGCGTGTGCTTGTGCATGCATGCGTGTGCTTGTGCGTGCATGCGTGTGCTTGTGCGTGCATGCGTGTGCGTGCTTGCGTGTGCGTGCTTGCGTGTGCGTGCTTGTGTGTGCGTGTGTGTGCGTGTGTGTGCGTGCATGTGCGTGTGTGCGCGTGTGTGCGTGTGTGCATGTGTGTGTGTGCGTGCGTGCATGCATGCGTGCGTGCATGCGTGTGTGCGTGTGTGCGCGTGTGCGCGTGTGCGCGTGTGCGCGTGTGCGCGTGTGGTGTGGCGTGTGTGCGTGTTGTGTGTGTGCGCGTGTGCGTGTGTGTGTGTGTGTGTGTGTGTGTGTGTGTGTGTGTGTGTGTGTGTGTGTTTTCTTTATAGTATATATAAATTTTTCTGTGAGATATGTTGAGGGTGTGGTACTTCATGAAACATGGGTAAAGAGGCAATGCATGAGCCAGATTTTTTTTTTTAAGAGGACCTAGGTCACATATGATCCGACATGATGATTGAAGACCTAAATGACATATTGCGAGAAATTTGAAATAGCCGGTTTTTGCATACACATTTGTATAAAATTGTATGCATGTCATCCCTGGTTGCCTACACTGAAGTACACATTCTTTTCCCCACTTAAAATGCCACCTGACCATTGGAGAATTGTATGGTAGAGAGTTTTCATGGTCACCCTTTGAAATATTGCAAAAGGTAGAGAATATTTTAGATTGGAAATCTGGTTAAAAAAATTTGAGGTTTATGTGGGATTTAGCTGAAATTCCTTCACAGCTCATTTTATTTATACAGTAGATCTTCAGATATAATATTTTAGGTCTCTAAATATAGAGTATTTTAAGTTCTTATGTTTCTTAACAAATGTCCCACCGGATGTGTGTATGTATTACAATGACCTATTACCATTTTAATTTTTAGTGATACTGCAGGTTTATTTGGATATGTTTACTTATATTATTCATATGTTGTTTATTTAGAATTAAGTTCATCTAATTTCATGGTACTTTTAATTTATTCCACAGGGAAGGAAAGTTTACAAATTACTGAGGAGAGAGTTCATCAGTCAGTAAAAGCTGAACAGCTGCAAGCATCGGCAGTCATCGAGAAAAAAGCTCATCAGTTAGTGAAAGCTGAACACGTACAGGCAGCACCAATAGCCAAGGAGAAAGCTCATCAATTGGTGAAAGCTGAGCAAGTGCAGGCATCACCAATCACTAAGGAGAAAACTCATCATTTAGTGAAAGCTGAACATGTACAGGCAGCACCAATAGCCAAGGAGAAAGCTCATCAATTGGTGAAAGCTGAGCAAGTACAGGCATCAATTACTAAGGAGAAAACCCATCATTTGGTGAAAGCTGAACACGTACAGGCAGCACCAATTGCCAAGGAGAAAGTTCATCAATCTATGAAAGCTGAGCAAGTACAGGCAGCACCAGTTGCCAAGGAGAAAGTTCATCAGTTGGTGAAAGCTGAAAAAGTACAGGCAACACCAATCACCAAGGAGAAAGCTCATTCACTAGTGAAACCTGAACATGTACAGGCAGCACCAGTCACCAAGGAGAAAGTTCATCAATCTGTGAAAGCTGAGCAAGTACAGGCAGCACCAATTGCCAAGGAGAAAGTTCATCAGTTGGTGAAAGCTGAAAATGTACAGGCAGCACCAGTCACCAAGGAGAAAGCTCATTTGCCAGTGAAACCTGAACATGTACAGGTAGCACCAGTCACCAAGGAGAAAGGTCATCAATCGGTGAGAGCCGAACACGTACAGGCAGTACCAGTCACCAAGGAGAAAACTCATCAGTCAGTGAAAGCCGAACACATACAGGCAGCACCAGTCACCAAGGAGAAAACTCATCTGTCAGTGAAAGCTGAACACATACAGGCAGCACCAGTCACAAAGGAGAAAGCTCATCAATCAGTGAAAGCTGAACACATACAGGCAGCACCAGTCACAAAGGAGAAAGCTCATCAATCAGTGAAAGCTGAACACATACAGACATCACCAGTCACCAAGGAGAAAGCTCATCAATCAGTGAAAGCTGAACACATACAGACATCACCAGTCACCAAGGAGAAAGCTCATCAGTCAGTGAAAGCTGAACACATACAGCCAGTACCAATCACTGAGGGAAATGCTCATCAATCTCTGAAAGATGAGCATGTGCAGGCAACCCCAGTCACTAAGGAGAGAGCACATCAGTCACTGAAGGACAAAGAAGTGCCAACTGCTCCAGTCAGCAAGGAGACAGAGCATCAGTCGCTGAAGGATGACCGGGTGCAAGCACCTCCAGTCACTAAGGAAAGAGTGCACCAGCCACTAAAAAGTGAACAGGTTCAGTTAACCCAAGTTGGCAGAGAGAGATCACACCAGTCACTGAAAAAGGAGCAGGTGCAGGCAACTCCAATCACCAAGGAGAAAGAGCATCAATCATTGAAAGTTAAACAGGTGCAGGCAACTCCAATCACCAAAGAGAAAGAGCATCAGTCATTGAAAGCTGAACAAGTACAGGCAACTCCAGTCACCAAGGAGAAAGAGCATCAATCATTGAAAGCTGAACAGGTGCAGGCAACTCCAGTCACCAAGGAGAAAGAGCATCAGTCATTGAAAGCTGAACAAGTACAGGCAACTCCAGTCACCAAGGAGAAAGAGCATCAGTCATTGAAAGCTGAACAGGTGCAGGCAACTCCAGTCACCAAGGAGAAAGAGCATCAGTCATTGAAAGGTGAACAGGTGCAGGCAACTCCAATCACCAAGGAGAAAGAGCATCAATCATTGAAAGCTGAACAGGTGAAGGCAACTCCAGTCACCAAGGAGAAAGAGCATCAGTCATTGAAAGCTGAACAGGTGCAGGCAACTCCAATCACCAAGGAGAAAGAGCATCAATCATTGAAAGCTGAACAGGTGCAGGCAGCTCCAGTCACCAAGGAGAAAGAGCATCAATCATTGAAAGCTGAACAGGTGAAGGCAGCTCCAGTCACCAAGGAGAAAGAGCATCAATCATTGAAAGCTAAACAGGTACAGGCAACTCCAATCACCAAGGAAAAAGAGCATCAATCATTGAAAGCTGAACAGGTGCAGGCAGCTCCATCACCAAGGAGAAAGAGCATCAATCATTGAAAGGTGAACAGGTGCAGGCAACTCCAGTCACCAAGGAGAAAGAGCATCAGTCAGTGAAAGATGAACAGGTGAAGGCAGCTCCAGCCACCAAGGAGAAAGAGCATCAATCACTTGAATGTGGAAAGAGTCAGGCAGTTTCTGTCACCAAAGAGAAAGCACATCAGTCACTGAAAGAACAAGTGCAGTCGACACTGATCGCCCAGGCGAAAATTCATCAGTCACTGAAAGATGAACAAGTGCCAGCCACTTCAATCACCAAGGAGAAAGAGTGTCAGTCACTGAATGACGAACAGGGGCAGGCACCTTCATTCACCAAGCAGAGAGTACACCAATCACTGAAAGGTGAGCAGGTACAGTCAACCCTAATCAATCAGCAATCACTCAAATGTGAAAAGGTGCCAGCAGTTTCAATTCCCAAGGAGGTTGGGCATCAGTCAATCAGAAGTGAACAGGTGCAGAAGGAGAAAGTGTGCAGTTCAGTTGAAGGTGAACAGGCACAGGTTTCAATTACCCAAGAGAGTGCATGTCACCTAATCAAAGGTGAACAGGTGAAGGTTTCAGTTGCCCAGGAGAGAGTGCATCACCCATTCAAAGGTGAACAGGTAAAGGTTTCAGTCACCCAGGAGAGTGCACATCACCCAGTAAAAGGTGAACAGGTGCAGGTTTCAGTCACTCAGGAGAGTGAATGTCGCCTAATCAAAGGTGAACAGGTAAAGGTTTCAGTCACCCAGGAGAGCGCACATCACCCAGTAAAAGCTAAACAGGTGCATGTTTCAGTCACTCAGGAGAGTACACAACACAGAATCAAAAGTGAACAGGCACAGATTTCAGTCATCCAGGAGAGTGCACATCACCCAATTAAAGGTGAACAGGCACAGGTTTCAGTCACCCAGAAGAGTGCACAACACAAAATCAAAGGTGAAGAGGTGCAAACTTCAATCAGTAAGGCCAGTGTGTGTCAACCAGTCAAAGGCGAACAGGCAAAGCTTTCAGGCACTAAGCAGAGTGCACATCAACCAATCAAAAGTGAACACACACAGGTTGCAATTAGTAAGGAGAGTGCACATGAACTAAGCAAATGTGAACAGGTGCAAATTTTAGTCAGTAAAGAGAGAGTGCATAATCCAATCAAAGGTGAACAGGGAAAAGTCTCAGTCACCAAGGGAAGCGTGCATCAGTCGAGCAAAGGTGAACAGGCACAGACTTCAGTCACTGAAAGTGTGCTTCAACCAGTCAAAGGTGAACAAGTGCAGGTTTCAGTCACCAAGGAGTGTGTGTGTCAGCCAGTCAAAAGTGAACAGGTGAAGGTTTCAGTCACTAAGGAGAGTGCACATCAACCAATCAAAGTTTCAGTCAGTAAGGAGAGTGTGCAGCAGCCAAACAAAGGCATACAGGAGGAAGTTATACTCACTAAGAGCATACATCAAGCTGTCAAGGGTGAACCAGTGCAAATTTCAGTCAATAAAGAGACAGTGCATCAGCAAAGCAAAGGTGAATTGGAGCAAGTTTCAGTCAATAAGGAGGGTGTACATCAACCAGTCAAAATTGAACAAGTGCAGAAAGAGAGTGCGCTTCACTCAGTGGAAGATAAAAAGGTGCAAATTTCGATCAAGGAGAGAGAGCATCAGTCACCTGAAGGCAAAGAGATGCAAGCAGCTTCAATCACAAAGGAGAGAGAGCATCATTCACTGAAAGGTGAACAGGTGCACAAGGTTTTAGTCACGAAGGAGAGAGAGCATCATTCACTGAAAGGTGAACAGGTGCACAAGGTTTCAGTCACCAGGGAGAAAGAGCATCATTCACTGAAAGGTGAACAGGTGAACAAGGTTTCAGTCACCAAGGAGAAAGTGCATCAATCTTTTGAAACTGAAAATGTTCAGAAAGCTTCAGTTACCAAGGAAAAAGAGCATCAGTCAATCAAAGATCAACAGGTGCAGAAAGAGAAAGATCATCAGTCAGGTGAAGGTGAACAGGCACATAAAGTTTCAGTCACCAAAGAGGGAATACACAATCAGTGGTGGGTGAACAAGTGAAGGTATTTTCAGTCACCAAGGAAAAGATGCATCAGTCAGTTAAATGTGAACAGGTGCAGGAGAAAACCCATCAGTCAGTTGAAGGTGAACAGGTGCTGAAGGAGAAAACTTCCAAGTCAGTTGAAGGCAAACAGGTGCATAAGGTTTCAGTCCCTAAGAAAAAAGTGCATCAGTCAATCAAATGTGAACAGGTGCAAGAGAAAGCCCATCAATCAATTGAAGGTGAACAACTGCTGAAGGAGAAAACTTCCCAATCAGTTGAAGGCAAACAGGTGCATAAGGCTTCAACTCCTATGGAGAAAGTGCTTCAGTCAATCAAACGTGAAGAGGTGCAGGAAGAAACCCATCAATCAATTGAAGGTGAGCAGATGTCAAAGCAGAAAACTCCCCAATCAGTTGGAGTTGACAAAATGCATGTGGTTTCAACCCCCAAGGATATAGTGCATCAGCCAATCAAATGTGAACAGGTTCAGGTTTCAGTTGCAAAGGAGAGAGCACATCAGTCGAGCAAAGGTGAGCAAGTGAAGGTTTCAGGCACCAAGGAGAGAGTGCATCGATCACTCAAAGGTGAACAGGTGGAGCCAGTTTCCATCCCTGAGACAGAAGATCAATCAGTTGAAGGTGAACAGCTGCAGAAGACTTCAGTCACCAGGGAGAGAACGTCTCGATCACTCAAAAGTGAACAGGGACCAACAGTTTCTTTGAGAAAGGAAAGAGTGCATCGGTCACTTAGAGGTGAACAGGTGGAGGCAGTTCCCGCTAAAAAGGAGAGAGCACAACGATCACTCAAATGCGAACAGGCAGTTACAACCTCAAATAAACCTGGTGAAAAACGTAAAGCTGTTGATGTAAAATCCCCATCAAAGACTGAAGTAAATCCTCAAGAAAGTATGCAGAAACAGAAAGAAATCCCCATCAAGACATCTTTGCCTGAAAAGACTTCTGCAGCAAAACGTGTGAAGGTTTCCCATGTTGAGGCTAAGGAACAAATGGATATGAAAGCATCCACAGATAAGATGCCTAAGGGTGCAAAAGTAGACACATCTTTGTCTGAAAAGATTTCTGCACCAAAACGTGTAAAGGTTTCCCACGTTGACTCTAAGGAGCAAATTGATGTAAAAGCATCAGTAGATAAGGTGTCTAAGGGTGAAGTAGAGGTACTGCATGTAGACAGAGCAGTGCCACAGGATGCAGCTAAGACCCGGGGAATTAAGGAAATTAACCAGTCACCCACAACTCAAGTAGGTGACAATATACAGGAACACAAAGAGCAAGGAATAAAGCGATCCCTTGAAGAAGACCTTGAATTTGCCCAAGAATACAAGCAAGAAGTCCAGCCACCAGTCAAAAAGAGAGCTCGAGTAGTGGAAGCAGCACTGTGTGACAAGCGAACTCAGGTGATTGAGAATGAAGCTGAAGAACTGGAAAGAATAGAAGATGACACAAAGGAAGATGCAAATAGTAAGGTGCCTGTGAAAAAGGTGATGGAGCATGGACATAAGACTGATGATGACAGTAGGGATGGCCTTGATGATAATGGGGGGGATGAAGATGATGTGCAGGAAAAGGACAATAATAGTGATAGCAAAGAAAATAATGAAAGCAAGGATGATGAAGCTAATACACCGTCAAAGAGAAAGAAAAAGAAAAAGAAATCATATGAACGACCAAGAGGAGAAGGTGGAAAATTTATGAAAGAGAGATCAGGTATGCCTTTAATGTCTTGTGTGTTTATTCAGTTTTTTTAATGTTTTTTTTAAACTGGTAGTAAATTAATCATGTTTCTCTTAAGTGAAATACATGCTGTCTTTTTTCTTTCTTCCATTAAGTTTCTTCCTCAATTTCATGATCACTACAAACTTCCTTATGATCTAAATCAACTGTGTTTCCAAAAGTAATTAATTCATTACTATTTTATACATAGTTTTCTGTATTTGTTTCTTGCTCTTTACCATTGTTTACACTGGGTTTAGCAATCCTATTTTTTTTTTTTTTACCTTATTTATGTCTATCTTAGATGACTTTCATTTAACCTTTGTGTTGAAGCTTCAGGCATTTCAGATGCTTTCAGAATTTAAAGACTTGAAGGAATGCTTGATATGTTATGCCAGAAAAATATCTGCTTTGCTTATTTGACTATGATAAGAAGACATTAAGTGAAGAGCAGATCTTTATTTAAAAACAAGTTTCATTTGGTGACAATTTGGTTTTGCTGTTGCCAAGCAAATATTACTTAAACAAAGGTTTGCTCTTGTTTTAAATGAGGTGCTGTAAATGATGCCAGCAAATGTATTGAAAGAGGCACTTGTACACAGTGCCTGATCAACATTATTGTTGGCATTCCTGCCATTCCCAAATATGCCAGTTTGACTAAAAAAAAAAAAAAAATTACCTGCTTCCTTCACTAACATATGTAAATTAAGCACCACTTGTTTGTTTGACCAACATGCATTAATTAGTCACCACCTGCTTGTTTGACCTACACAAAATATATTACTACTTGCTCATCAGACTAGCATAAAATAAACCACTACTTATTTGACTTAACATGTAAAAATAAATCACCATTTCCTTGCTTGATTAACATATGCAAAATAAATAACACTTGCTTGACTAGCACTCGTAAAATAATCACTGCTTGCGTGCTTGCTTGACTAACATAATTGCAATAATCCCACTTGCTTACAATGAGAAAGAGAAAGAAGGAAAGAAATAGCAGAAGATAAACAGGTACGGAAAATTTGTGAAAAAGTTTTCATTATACATGAGCACAAGCATATGAAAATTCTTCAGTTTTTTTTATATAGTAAGTATAAAGGTCCTGTATTCATTGCAATTTTTTGTAAATGAAAAAGTTAATTCAAATTTGAATAGCATGCAGACAGACCTTCATAACATGTGCTATATAATTTTGGATGCACTTTTTCAGTTACATTCACAAAAAAAAAATTGCACTATATAGAGGAACTTTGTAAGAGAGAGTAATGTATATCTAAAACTCAAAACTTCTTTTATTTTTAGAGTTATCGAAAAATTCTGCGATTAATTTAGGAAAAGGGTAAGGATTTCATTTGTGTCCTTTGTAATTGAAAACACAGTGGGCACTTGATTATATGAACTACATGAGACAAGTCCTTGGCTGGGTAAAGGTTTATTTGATAAGACTTATAGTGGATGGGGGGGGGGGCATGTTTTCATTTCTCTTTGGCTTGTTTGATAGAGCATGTCACTGAGCATTTATATTCCATGCATCACTAATTTACTCAAAAACCAATCGAGAAAAATCTGAGCACTTACCCTATCAGTTTTGATTTACAAATATACATTTCTTGGTCAAAGTGTGCCAGACAAGTAGGATTCCACTACATACTTAAATGACCATATATAGGAATACCTTTAATGTGGCAGGTAAGGTTCCAAACTGCCACTGCAAATTGAATATTGCCTAAAAGCAATTGCAACCTTTTTTCACATACTAGTGCATGTAAAAACCTAAAAACATGTTTACACTATCATTTATTAACCCTTTCACGATCTGAACCCCTGATCTGAAACTTGCTCTCATGGTTGAGGAATTTAAAAACAAAATCAGATTGGGGGTCTGGACACTTAAGGGGCCCTTGTGCTCATATCATAAGATAAAAGTTTCTCAGTTTAATGTATAATGAAATGTTAAGAGAATGAAATCTTTCATTTTTTTTCTGGGGGCTGAAACCAGAGGCAACAGCTAAGTTTAAACAGAGGAATGAGGAGCAGTGGTACACTGCAACACATCTAAAATTTAAATGTTTTTCACTCTCACATGTTATCATTTGCAGCTGTGTATTACTCCTTTTGAGTTATACAGTAGAATCTTGATTACACAGGCCCTTATGTAATGAATTTCGTGTACTATAACTGCCAAAATATTTGGCCAGACAGAAGTTCAGTGCAAGTGACTAAGTATCCATCTGTTGAAAGCATGGATTATGTGTGTTGCGATGGGCAATTTGGTAAAATGATTTTTTGTTTAAATGGACCCTCCCCTCCCTTGTTAGTCTGTTATACTGAGGTTTTACTGCATGAACAGCTGCCTTTGAAAACTAAATGTGAGGGTAACAAATCAGTAGCAGAAATTATCAACAATGAGGACCTCGCTACCAGTCTTAACTGTATCAGCATGTGTATGTTACACCCTCACACACTGCATTCCACTTTGTTTTTTCTAGGTTTCTTTTTCTAGTATGTTTGTCTTTGGTACTGTATGTAGTAGTTATTTAGTGTAAATGTTGTGGAGTCCTATTTGTTCATTACAGTTTGACTGAGAAATTTGGATTTTTAAATTGATTGTTGGAAAAATATTCAGATTTATTTTTAGTGTGTATTTAGCTTTATTGGTTTTGGATAAGTACAGTGGTATACAGTGTGAAATTATATAGTTAAATATTTAGTTGCTCAGTTGAATTCATCTGTTTGTGTAATTTTTTTTTATCATGAAAACAATATATCCAAACCTAGGCACAAATATTGATTACTTGTGCAAATTGTCATTCTAGATATTAGTCACATAAATATTTTCAAGAGAGGAAGATTGTATGTTGTTTATTGCACACCAGACCAGTCACTGCTGGTATTTGGACCTGTCATTCCAGTAATTTTCTGTGTATAAACATTATAAACCACACTAATGTTTACTGATTGTAAATTATGTGAATTTACATTTTGTGACATTCACAAAACCTGTGAATTATAAGACTTTCCAATACTATGGAATGATTCCTGCATCTCAGATGTGAGCACCACTGTTGAATTAGTGTTTATTAGGTTAGATTATGTTTAGGCTTGGTCACATTAGGTTGGGTTGGATTAGGTTGGCTTTGATTGGGTTGGGTTAGGTTGGTTTTGATTGGGTTGGGTTGTGTTGGATTAAGTTGACTCTCAATGTGTTGGGTTAGCATCCTGTCTAATAGAATCTAACCTTTTGCAACCTGATCTTCCCTAACTTTCCCAAACATTGTTCCCCCAAAAAATGTCCATTCCAAAACTCATTTAACATTATACATTATAAACTATAAACTATCATCCAATTTCACCTAAAAGCCATAGTGCCGTAAATATTGAGCAAGTGTTTTACTGAATTACAACAACAAAAAAATTGACAATGTGGCTGTTGGAAAGTCATCCGGCTGATCATGACTTAAGGTTAATATATGTATGGTTAAGAGTGCACCCACTTTAGAAACAGTTTGACAGAGAGAGAGACAGAGCCAGAGAGAGAGAGAGAAAGAGAGACAGAGACAGCTACAGGAGAGAGAGACAGAGACCGAGACCCCCTTAACCAGGGTTTACTGAATTTTTCAACAAGTGAGGTGTTATTTTGATAATGATTAGTTTTTAAAATATAGTAAAGAGGAAGTTGTTTATTTCCATAGAATACACAGAGGTAATGGTTGGTTACAGTTTTGGGAAAACATTGTATTTCGTATTCTAAGGAAAGCCCATTGTTTTGCAAAGCATTTCGGGCAGATTAATTCTAGGCCTTAATCTTTACTTAGTCAATCAACATGTGTATCATTGAAGCTGTTTCTAGCAGTATTGTATAACACTAGGTGTAGGAGAAAAAGCTTGCTTCAGCTGCACAAAGCTATTCAGATTTTTATATTGTAAATTGCAGTGTCATGAATAGATATACAGTGGACCCTCGGTTATCGGCCGTAATTTGTTCTAGAAGGTCGGCCTAAAAACCGAAATAATATTTTCCATAAGAATTAATGTAAATACAATTGATCTGCTCCAGACAAAAATATTCACAAAAAATAATTTTTTTAGCAATTATATAAATATTACATACCTTTATTGAATGCTAATGCTGGCTTCTGGAAGATAGGGAGGAGTTAGTGTTTGGAAGGGGAATCCCCCTCCATAAAGACTAGGTAGCAAAGCCTTCTCCGGGGTTACTTCCCTTCTTTGTCTTTTAATGCTACTAGGGCCAGCTTGAGTCAATAGACCCCTGTTTCACAAAATAACTGTCCAGAGTGCTCTGTTTCTGGCATCTCTAAGATTTCCCTGAAGTGGGACAGGGTTTTGTCACTAAACATGTTGCAGATATGGCTTGTTTCAGCTTTGTCAGGGTGGTACTTCTCGACAAAACTTTGCACATCATTCCACTTTACACAAATGTTCTTAATCATTGAAGAAGGCACCTCCTTCACTCCCTCTTCCTCCTCCTCTGAAGCAAGTTCCTCAGCTGCAGTCTGTTGCTGTTCAAGTTGAAACTCTTGCAGGTCTTCAGTGGTTAGCTCTTCCCTGTAGTCCTCCACCAACTCTTCCACATCCTTGCCACTCACCTCCAACCCCAGGGACTTTCTCAATGCCACAATAGAGTCCACAGGGTCGGCAGGGTCAGGGTCAGCCTCAAACCCTTCAAAATCCCTCTCTTGGACACACAGTGGCCACAGTTTTCTGCAAGCAGAGTTCAAAGTCCTGGAAGTCACTCCCTCCCAAGCCTTACCTATAAGGCTTATGCAGTGCAGGATAGTGAAGTTATTCCTCCAGAACTCTCTTAGGGTCAATTGAGTGTCCAAGGTCACTTCAAAGCACTTTTGAAACACTGCTTTGGTGTAGAGTTTTTTGAAGTTAGAAATGACCTGCTGGTCCATGGGCTGGAGGAGAGGAGTGGTGTTAGGAGGCAAGAACTACACTTTAATAAAATTTAAGTCCCTAAACAC